GGCTACGTAGACTCCACACACGAGTATTCTAGGAAAACTTGTATACTCAAAACTGCCGACAAGAACCGAATCTTCGATACTCATAAGAATAAGAACCAAGAAGTTGTGGACACTCAAAAGGTATCCACTCGTTTTCGGAGACCACCTCCGAAAAGGAGACCTAATTCTTTTAACGCCGCCTCTGATACGAAACCAGGAGTACGAGAAGCAAATCGGTACATTCACATGCCTCCTCCCTTTCACGCAGGGTTTCTATGTTATGACCGTTAGTTAAGGGATTTGTTCAAAATTTCTCTCATGCTTATCTACGTTGTTGAAGGAAAAATAAACGGACTGTGCGATCAACGCGGCTCACCAGCATCTTGTGCGTCGTCCACTTCATTCGCAGGAGTCAAGGGTTTCGCCTCCTCCTCGTCCGTAGAAGCCGGAGCGGTCCGGAAGTTCTGCTTCACGTTCGATTGCTGGTACATCACTCCTCCGATGATTGTAACGAGAAGGCACATGACTCCAAACGAGGATGCGTGCTTGTCCCAGATCATCACGTTGATGACAACGGTCAGAAGCTTGTTGGTCACTCCGAGCACAGTGAAAGCAGTTGCTGAAATCGCCTTTCTGCAGGCGAATCCGAAGAAGCTTATAGCGAGTCCAAACGCGCAGGACAGCAGCACGGGGAAAACCACACCGAATTGCCAGTCGGCCATAGCCGTGGTAGCGATCATCGTCTCTTGAAACTCGCCGGTGATCATCCAGAAGAGAGGAGCCATGAGAAGGGAGAGGAAATTGTTGTACAGGACAAAACCCCAGGTGCTCAAACCGAGACTGCTCACGATGTGCTTGATGTACACCATTTCGAGTGTAATTGTGAAGAGGTAAGCGAAAGCCCAGGTGTACGCGCGAACGGTGAACTGGCTGTCTGTAACCACGTAACCAACCGCGCCGGCGAGAATCACGAAAAGAGCTCCGAAGGTGTATGGCCCCGGCCATGGCTGCTTCCTGAAGAGATAATCGGCGACGGCGACGAGAAGCGGTGTAGACGACCGGAACACGATAAATGTGTCCACGTTGGCGTATCTAAGAAGCGTAGTGTTGGTGAAGATTGCCATGTAGAAAACGAAAGCAGCGGGAAGGAATTTCTTAACCATGCTCCATTGGATCTGGTCGTGCTCCAGCGCCTTCATGTGGCCCAAACCGAAGACCGCGACGACGCATGTGAGGTATTGGAGAGCCGTTAGGAGGCTCGGGAAGGGGAAGACATCGATAGCGTATTTGTTGATAATTGCGAGGAGACTCGAGCAGAGCGCGTATCCGATCACCAATGGCAGCGCGGTGAGATCGCCGAGGTTGAGTGTAACCCCCAAGCAATTGACGGTCGTGTTCTCCTTATACCACGGAGCCATGGCGGATCTGACTGCCGCCTTGAGAAAATTCCGGGATCAAACGATGCAGCTCTCAGGCGCGCCAATGCGTTAAAAAGGTAACAAATGAGGGATGAAACTAAAGACGCTGTATAACTGGAATCAATGGGTCCTCGTTGCTGGTGGTGCTAACTTCTACACACGTGTTTGTGGAAAATGCGCCAACAAAAATGTCTGTAATGTGCTGTTATCTAGGTGGCGCTGAGAGAAATGAGATTTGTGTTTCAAGGAGCATCTAATTTACATGCTGAAATGCCCCACCATTCTGCCCTTCATTGATTGGTCGAAGCCTCGGAGACCTGGGTTTACCGCCGAGGCACGGGGAGAGCCTGATCTCCTAGTTTGGCGGGGTTGTTTCAGGGGCTGTAAATGTAGTGAGCTTTTGGGTTGTTGAAATGGTTTTTCCGTGGTTTAATTCGGTTTGTTTTTTGGTAGAGGTGGTTGAGCCGTGCCTGTTAGCCCTGGGAAATAGCTTTGGCATCGTGGTTGTTGGGCTTTCTGGGACGGAGTTTGGTGATGTGGCACGTGAGGTGAGCGGGACGGCGCTGATTGGATATACAAGCTGCGACACTTTGGTTTGATCCGAGCTGGCTTCTCCAAACCGAGTGTAATCATCAACAAGGCGACTGGGGCTGATTGCCAAGTAGCTGGCGAGTGTGCGACGCGATGCGATGAGGTGGTGGTGGTTGGGGGAGTGCGCTCAGCTGAGCGACTTGGTTTCAGGGCAGATGTAACGAACCAGAGAGATGACGGTCAGGTTGAATGTGAAACGCACGTGTTTGATGGGTCGCCTGAAACCACAACAGACGGCAACAAGACTCCTGAAACCACAACAGAGAATGTGTACCATCACCAATTCTCTGGTATGGAACGCGATGGGGTTAGTAATTTTATCGAAGCTGCTAATGTCAATGCTGTACCCATGCAAGTCGCAGATTCAATATGAGCAATCCACGCGGCAAATCCATGGCTGCATTGAGATTTGAGTTCTTGGCGTCGGTCATCCAAACTAGGCAAGGCCATGGGCAATGGCAAAGATGCTCAGCCATTAGGCAGACGCTGATCCGAATCTAAGGGCTGTTGCATGTCGGCTTGCCAACGGCGTGAAGATGTTGCTTGCAGTTGGACAGGAAAAAGCAGCCCTTGGGTCGGCCTCTATGTTTGAGCCTTTCACAGTCCAATCGATGCCACGTGTCTCCGGCCAAGCGGGGACGGATGTGGAGCTAGCTGTCTTTTTGCAAGGCGACCGAATCGCAGCGATAAGATGGTTGCCCTGGGGATAAATTGGCCGAACCAGGACGGACTTGCCGCGCACGCAACGTCATTTACGTCCTTAAATAGCGGTGTTCTCCCAAGTTTCCGTGTCGCGAGTTCTATTTGGTTCGCTTCAGCTCTACGCCCTCATATCTCAAGTTCTTTGGATTGTGGAATTGTGTCTTACGCACCGTACTGCATCTCGTGTTAGAGTCAGGCGAGCAAGTAGCAACATGGCGAGCCAGCAAGTTCCGCAGGTAAGGTCACCGTAAGTTTGGCATGCTTTCTGTATCTGATTTACGCTGTCTCGTCGGTTATTTTTCTGAGTACCGGGTTTTGTGCGCCGCAGGTGCCCCATGGCGGACAGGCACAGGCTGAGAGAGAGCAGAAGCAGCAGGAGGGCGTCTCCTGGGCTGAGCGTGTGAAGGGAACCTTGGAAAAGGGCTCCACAGAGGAAAGGCCCACTGAGCGTAAGAGCATGGCTGAAACAAGCGAGAGTAAGAGCGTGGAGGAAGAGAGGGCCAAGCAGGCTAAAGAGCATCAGGCAGTGGCTTCAGCGAAGCGAGCTGGAGAGCATCAGGCAGCCGCTTCGACCAAGCGTGAGGAGGCTAAAAAAGAGGCGCAGCAGGCGGGTAGCCAGGTGACAGAGACCACCAGGAAGGCAGGCGAGGTGACTGCGGAGAAGGGGCGTCAGTTGACGGAGAAGGCCAAGGAAGGGCTCGCGTCAGGGACGGAGACAGTGACTAAGAAGACTGAGGACCTGACGGAAAGGGCGAAGGAGAGTTTGGGAGAGACTGCAGAGATGCTCAAGTCCAGCTTTGGTAAGGGGCAGGAGGAGGTTCAGGAGGGGGAGACGGCCATAGGTAAGGGAGTGGATGTGAAGGGGAAGGAGGAGGCTGTTGCTGTTCTAGAAGCGTCTGCTAAGAGGTTGGGTCAGGTGGCAGAGGTTATGAAGGAAAAGGGTTTGGAGGCTGAACATGTGGTGGAGGGGGCAGCCAGCAAGATTTATTCCGACATTCAGCATGCGATGGAGAAACTCTCATTCGTGGGAGGAGAAGGCAAGACTGGGGGTGATGTAGAACTGAAGGGAGCAGAGGGGACTGGTGGTGAGGGAGTGAAGGCAGCAGCAGCAGACGTGCACGAAGCAGTGAAGACCACGCAGGGTGTTACTCAAACTGTTATGGTTGGTGCTGCTGAGGTGCTTGTTGCTGCTGGCGATGCTGTAACCGATGCTGCTAAGGTAAGTGTCTGGTGTTTGCAATTTGTTAAACTAGGCGCTTGAGTTGATCAGTGGTGCTGAACTGATTTAGGTTCCTTTCTGCAGGCACTTGGATCAAGTTTGCAGTCACTGGTGCAGCCATATGAGAAAGGCGCAGCTCCATCTCCAGACACAACTGTCCCCACAGGCACTACTGCCAAGATGGAGGAGGAACACAGGGAGAGTGATGCAGGTTCTTAGACACATGGAGATCTGAGTATAGTCTGACGAGTTAGCGTACATATGTGCAGCATGTGTGAAAGGCTACTCAGCTTGGGCTGACTGAATATACTCAGTTAGGAAGATGGATTTTGTACAACGGTAAACGTTACACAGCTATAGACTATGTACACGGTTCATTTCATTTACCAGGCATTGCTCCCACTGCATGATCTCACATCCTGCCATGAACGAGCAGGCAGTACCATGTGAGGTCACGACTACTCCAGCTGCAGGCACGTCCGTCCTTACAGGTACCACGACGGACGGAGAAGAAACACAAGGAGAGTGGTCAAGGTACATAATTTGACACTTGTTTTCACCCACACCACAAAACATGTTGGGAATGTACACGGCAATGAATGGTAAGTATGTACCGTACATTTGCACTTCAGTGACCTGGCATTGGTCCCATCGCCTCAACTCGGATTCTGCACAGAACAGAATCAGGCAGACAGACATGGTGTTTTACAAGAATGTCACAAGAAGTCGATACTCGATCTCGACCTAACAAGAACAACGAAGCAGCAGCGTGCAAAAGGGAAAGTACTCACTGTTGGGCAACAACCCACGCAGAGTAAATCATTCCAGGGATCCAAAAGCAGAGTGTGAGTAGAATAGAGATCTGCACATGAATCACAGAGTATGATGATCCACCATGTCGACGTGGGCTCCCGCAACAAAAGTTAAGAGCTACTACACGTCCATCCGAAACTCTCAGCGTGCAAACAAAGGAAAAAAACTATTCCGTACCCAGAATTCGTATCCGCACTCTTTCTTCATGAAGGTTCCAAGAGGTGGAAGAAAGACGGTCGCGATAATTGCACCCGCATTCCAGCAATCTGACATTTTGCTTAAGCGTCTGCTTTTTAACAAAAGCAAAACGAAAAGGAGAGAATGGTTAACAAAATATCACGCATCGGCTCTCATAAATAGTCGCTGAATGGCAGGTGCTCATTGAGACGTGGCATCGCAAAAATCACGTGGCACAGATCTGACAAGCTAACCGCACCTGGAGGAGCGTTGCACGCGGTGCTTACTGTGGGTGACCCCTAATATACAGAAATTAACAAGATGGCACGGTGACACGAATCTAATAGTAAATGGTCCTCACGGTGGACGGACTGGGAGTATAGAAGAACGACAAATCGACAAGACTGACCTAAAGAATAGTCTATGTCGATCACAGTATGCCCACCTACGCTCGTTATCGCTACTACTTCTGGCGGTTCCGAGGCCACCTTGATTCACGTGAACTTCAATGCTAGAATGAGTTGAGATTCACGTGAAAGTGAAACATGAAACCGCCAGCTTCGAGTGGCTAAATTTCAAGAACACCAGTAACTGCACTAGAGCTTGGAACCGCTACACTGAACACCAGTAGCGTGTACAATGCACAACAATGTTCATTCGCGGAGAAGCTATGTTCATTCAGTCTCAAAAGCTCACTTTCACATTCAGAACAGGAGCATGAATTTGATTTTCCAGTGAATGGTTTTTGTCGCTTCACCACTTTGAACTGCTGGCCACTCGCCAGCCTGAACTCTCGGGCTGGGGAAAGGGTGTATGGTGTGTACGTTAACACGGTGGCTTGGAACGTTTCCACGCGGTGGAAAGCGGTTCTGAAGCTACACCATTTGGCACTGCGACGAAATTTCATAAACCGCTCAAAGCGAACAACTTTAGCATTCCCATGCATTTTTGGAGTTGCTTGCACATTCTTGAGAATTTCCCGTTCTTGAGAATTCCGCGGATTTTTTGTATGTGCAAGGTCGTCCTGATTCTTGAACGCCTCAGCGACGGCGTCACCTTTGTGCGAGCTACTGGTCCTTATTTCCGTCGCCGGCTTTGCGTAATCTCCATTCGCAATCGAATCTTCCCCAGCAGTTCCACCTGGTGTTAGTATCTGCGAGTTATCGTCGTTTCCACGCGTTTTGAAGCCGACTTCCGCGTTTCCGTGTCCGCGGTAGTTTCGGCTGAATGGTACAAGACAGCGAGTAGATTAGGAAGAAAACACGTCGAGCAACACATAGGAAGAAGATTTCGGCAGATTAGGAAGACGGTTTCGACGAGCAACTATCCCCAGATTCGTCTCTCCTGCTGGAGTTTGCTCACAGGGGGATCACACCTTTCCGTCACTCGTTCCACCCCTTCTCACCCCTCTCCACGCCTCTTCCACCTCTCTTAACCCTTCTCGTGTCAGAATGGCGGCCTCCCAAGAGTCGGTCTGTAGGCGCTGCAGAACGCTGTTTAGACGGGAAGAAAACAGCCAAGAGGCGTGTCGGTTCCACCCCAAGATGTTTGTGAGCCGGAAGCATGACGACCAAAAGAGGTTAGTGTGTGCTAACAGAGCATTAGGGGAGAAAGGGAGTGGAAGAATTTAGAGGCGTGCCGGTTCCACCCCAAGATGTTTGTGAGCCGCAAGCACGACAACCAAAAGATGTGCGTGCGGGCTGGAAGTGTAATAGAGGGGGCTGGGGAGGGTGGTTGGGGAGGGTGCATTGTTGATTTTAGCCAAGAGGCATGTCGGTTTCCTCCCCCCTCCTCATTCCTGCCTCTTTCCCCTGTCCAACACCCACAGCTACTATGAGCTGAAGGATGGCGACCCGGAGTATCTGGCTCGTTTCTACGACTGCTGTCATAGTGCCACGACCCCCTTATCCCCCCCTTTCTCTCAATGTCCACAGGTAGTGCGAGCTGAAGGACGGCGATTCGAAGTAATCAGCTCGCTCCTATGACTGCTGTCAAAATGTCACTACCTGCTTGTCCCAACTTCCGTTACCCACAGGTACTACGAGCTGAAGGACGGGGATTCGGAGTATCCAGCTCGCTCCTATGACTGCTGACCTGCTTGTCCCAACTTCCATTACCCACAGGTACTACGAGCTGAAGGACGGGGATTCGGAGTATCCAGCTCGCTCCTATGACTGCTGACCTGCTTGTCCCAACTTCCATTACCCACTGGTACTACGAGCTGAAGGACGGGGATTTGGAGTATCCAGCTCGCTCCTATGACTGCTGACCTGCTTGTCCCAACTTCCGTTACCCACAGGTACTACGAGCTGAAGGATGGCGACCCGGAGTACCTGGCTCGCTTTTACGACTGCTGTGGCGCTGAGGACCCCAGTGCCCCTGGATGCACCACCGCTTGCCATGTGTCGTATGATGATTAAGTTTTTACAAGCAGTGCTTGAATAGAGAATTAAGGGTGATTGTTTTAAGGAAAGACAGGGCAGAGAATGGGATCATGGGATGTGTAGACAAGATACGGTTTCTTTTGGGGCATGTGTGGGTGGAGGGTTGATGCCCAGAAATATTGAGGGTGCTCTGCAATGGAATAATGAGAGTGTATATACTAGGCAGGTTTGGTATGGCTGATCAAATAACATACGAATGCCTACACAAACTGTGCGAATCGCGTCAAAAACAAAATATCTTATCACTCCGCTTCTTGATCCTATCGCTGTGTGCAGGGTAGATTTATGCTCTTCTGCTACAGCTCAGGCTACTGCACATGCTGCTGATTCTCCTGCAATGGCTGCTGCTATGGTTGCTGTTGCTGTTGTGAATACTTGGCCATGGCCACCACTAAATGGTTACCACACCAATGTGGTTACAACCACCCATGTGAGAAAGCCGCAACATGGTTACAATGATCACCAATGCTTCCTTCAAATCCCCTCCATTACAGCCCCTTATCCCCGTGCACAAACTGCCGAACCTCGTCGTACATGACGAGAATAAATGCCGCCCCAGTGCCTCGGAGGATATTGCTGAAGAGCCCCTTGTAGAACCCCAGCACGCCCTCCTGCCGATACACGTGCTTCCAGCACTCCCACGTGCTCTTGAACACAACCATCTTCCGTCCTGGCTGCTGCTGCTGATGGTGATGCTGTTGGTGGTGGTGCTGCTGAGCCTTGCCCTGTGGTTGATCCGGTTGACTGGGTTGACCTGTTTGACCAGGTTGACCGGGATGACCCGTCTGACCTGGTTGACCAGGTTGACCCAGTTGACTCAGTTGGCTCGTCTGACCTGGTTGACCTGCTTGACTCAGTTGACTCTGTTGACTCTGTTGACCCGGTTGGCTGAGTGCTTGGCTCTGCAGCAGCACGTGCTGTAGCTGGTGGCTGTCAAACGAGTGGCTCAGAGGACAGGGAGCCGGTGCAGGCACTCGGACGTTCGGTGCTTGTGCAACAGGCATGCTGGTGGCAACAGCAGCAGGATTGACAGGATTGACAGAATTGACACCACCCGTTGCTTCTGCTCCTGCAACGGCTGCAGCTAATCCCATCCCTGCTGCTGCTCCTCCTGACCCTACTGCACTGAATCCTGCTCCTGTTCTCCCTGCTGCTCCTGCTGCTGCTTCTACTGCTGCCACTCCTACTACCCCTGCCGGCCCTGCTCGCCCTGCTTCGCCTCTCCGCGGCTTCGCCAGCCCTGCTTGCATCATCATGCGGTGTCGCACGGTGTCAAACGGGTGAGACACAACACTAGCCGTGGTCGTTGCTGCCTGTGCCAGCATCCACCTCAACCAGAACGGCGCGTGCCCCAAACCGTCCCCATTCCCACCCCCATCCTCCTCTCCAGCCCTTCCCTTTTCTCCTCTCGCCACCCCACTGGTCTCTCCCTTCGTTCCTCCCCCCGCTAGCGCTGCCCCTCCCCCTCCCCTTCCTCCTCCTCCCTCTCCTACACCCCCTCTTCCTCCCCCGCCTCCGCTGTGGCCCTTCAGCAGCAGCTGCTTGGCACTATCGAACCCCCCAAAGTACAGACTCCTATGCACGATAATCCCATGCACAGACGCAGGAAATCCGCGATATAAGCCTCGGATCCCCTCCGCCCGCCAGAGCGCCGCTATAACGGATCGCATGCCTGCAAACTGCCTGCGCGTGCCTATATCGGTGGCCAGGCGCGTGTGCGCCACGTCTAGGGGGTACGTGACTAGGAGGCTCGTGGCTCCTGCTGCTGCGCCTGCCAGGAAGTTTCCTGCAGCAATTCGCGTGGCGGAAGGATCTGTGAGTAGGTGAGACGGGGCGAAGAGAACGCGATAGTAGTCCTGCGCGCGGGAGGGGGGGGGGGGGGGAGAAACGTGGGGTTTGGGGACGGACAAAGTGGAAGTGGGGAGAGGGGGGGGAGGGGGGGGTGTTGGTTGGCTTTGGATGAACTCAAACGTAGGTGAGACGGGGCAAAGAGTACGCGATAGTAGTCCTGCGTGTGGGAAAGGCCGTACAAAGGCGGGAAGGGGGGGATGAAGGAAGGATGGGGGAGAGGCAAGCGGGAGGAGGGTGGGGTTGGTGCAATTGAGTCAACTCAAAACGTAGGTGACACGGGGCGAAGAGAACGCGACAGTGGTCCTGCGCGGGGTGGTTGGAACCGGGGGCGGGGAACCAAGGTGGGGACGGGGAAGGAAATTCGACAGAAACATCGTGAAAGGGTTGGTGAATTCTGAGTGGATTCAAAAGCGGCAGAAGACAGAAAGGCAGAGAAAGGGTAGGCGCCACTGCCACTTACACTAGGCGATGAGATGCGAATGCAAATCCCTTACCAACTGACGTCATGGACGTTACAGTTACAAACGTCACGGACTGACCTTGAACGCGAAGTTGAGCGCGAGCGACGGGTAGTAGCGCATGACACTCGTCCCGTTCCCTCTCCAGAGCGCCCAAAAGCCTTCTTCCTTCACGATCGTCGTGACCGCGTCCACGAACCCGCGGTACCGCCGGTGCTGCCCCGCGAGGATCGCGGCGTTGCTGTCCTGCGTCTGCAGCAGCAGCTTCACGCGCTCGATCGGCGCCACGATCGTGTGCGACACGCCGCCTAACGCGCCGCCTAATGCGAGATCCAGCGCGAACGACTGCCAGCTCGCGCCTTGCTGCTGCCGCCACCGCGCCAGCTGCTGCGCCGCCTGCGCCGCTTGCGCCGCCGGGACCGCCGGAGCCGCCGGGCCCGCCGCCGCTTGCGCTGGCGCGGTTGCCGATGTTGTTTCTGGTTCCGATGCTAGGGCTTCCGTCGTTCCGCCGCTGGTGGTGGTTCTTAGGGACATGACGCTCAGCTGCAGCCGTCCGATTGTATCCGTAGAAGGTGAATGGACGTGAGAGTGTATCCGCGCTATTGCATGCTGGACTGGCCTATACAGTCCCAGATTTTGGCGCGTGGAGGGATGGCTTGAAAGAAACCGTGGAGCTGTTGATAACTGGTCACTTACTGCAGAATGGTAACCACCTTGACAATTCTGGTAACTACCACAACAACTGTGGTAACCTGTTACACTCGGCTGTGCAGGCGAGGAAACGGCGTCTGGCCTTCTGCTTTCAGGAGGAAGAGCCTGCGAGTGCAGGTGGATCGAATCTGCCGCACATGACGGCGCATTCGACGGCGCACTTGACTGCGAAAAGCGCAGCCGATCCGTATGCATCGTTGCGATTCGATTGATCTGATTTGATTAGCTGATGTCCTTACTATATTTCAGACCTAATTCTGATGCAGTCGAGAGCTCATTCGACAGATGCGATCAGGCTGTATATTTCAGCAAGTATAAAATGGTAATCACGACTCACGATCAGGTGTGATGACTCACGAGCGGGAGCGGGTATCGAAGTCGTGATCATGCCTCGGCGACGTGAATTCGAGACTCAAAACGGCGAGTTCAAGATAAGAGCCATGGACGCTTCAAAGCCAGGCGTCCTGTAAAGAGAACCTAGCTAACCACCCAAAGGAGACTTTTCCGAGCAGCTAACTTGGTAGTCTCTTGGTTGGTACTGTAGGTACCCAGGGGTGATCTCTAACTACCTTCACCAGATAGCTGCATCTGGCCTAGAGATTAGTCCGTCCGAGCTTGGCCTGGTTTCGCCCGAAGCTGGTAAGCTGGTTTCGAACCGAAGAGGTTTGGGAGAAAAGGCTTGGCTACCTGGGGCTCTCCGGCGAGGCTCGGCATGAACATATGAGCGGCTGGTATGGGTTCTCCAAGGTGATGGGGATTTGGCGCCACGTGACAAATAGCGAGGCCCAGGATCAGAAGCCGCTTTCGTCAAACCCTGCTGCGTTACGAAGTAAAAAACCAAATACTTACAATTAGCAACTAAGATCAAGATTGAGTCTAGGCCTGATTAATCAATGGAGGCGTTCACATCACCTGAAGGGGACACAAAAACAAAATCTGGATGAGGAAAAATGTGTTACATAATTTCCTTCAAGTCTTATTTGAGTCCACATCCGTGCATCCCAGCACCCTGGCCTGGAACCCTACACAACCTACTAGCCAAGCCTTGGATCCATCCCGTGTTGCCAGACATACACCATCTCATCCCACCCACACGACACCATAAGCCCTTCAACCAACGGGCTCCAATCCAACCCCACGGCAAACTCCGTATGATGATCCAACTTCCCTAAAAGCGCGTCTTCCGGAGCTCTAAAATCCCACGAGCAAACCGTCATGTCATACGACGCCGAAGCAAGCAACGGCTCGTGGAACGGCGAGCACCGCACGCGCCGAACCGCATACGCATGCCCTTGCAACCGAGCCAGAGGCTCGGGACGGCCAGGCCCGGGCCGAGGCACCCGGATGTCCCACATGCAGATGGTTCGGTCGACCGAAGCTGTGGCGATGAGTGAGCCGCCGCCGTACTTGTTCCAATCACAGGAGAGGATTTCCATGTCGTGGGCTGGGAGGACGAGCACTGATCGCGGCTCACGGAGGTCCCAGATGCGGAGAGTGCAATCACCAGATGCTGATGCAAAGACATCGGGATGTGCGGGGTTCCTGAGGATGTGGAGAGTGGATGAAAGGAGAGGGGTGAGCAGGGAGAACTAGCACGGATCGCGACGCACGCAAGTCCCAAATGCAGAGTGCAATCTCCAGATGCTGATGCAAAGACATCTGGAAGAGCCGGGTTCCTGAGGAGGTGGGTGGGTGAGATGCAAGGGACGGGGAGAGACAAGTTGAGAAGGGATTGTCATAGATTGGTCAGGTGGGATGAGGATGGCTGGTGGCGGTGGCTCATGCAGGTCTTGAAGGCGAAAGTTGCAACCGGAAGATGTGAGGAAGAGGCAGTCTATACCGGGGCGCAGGGTGGACACAGCATGTGTGCACCTTCAGTGAATGTTGAATGCACGTTGACTGCACATTAAATGTACAGTGATGCACATTGTATTGCATGTTGAATGCACAGTTGGTTTCAAATTTTACGTTTCAAATAAAGCTCACGACATGTCCCATACCAGACGGCAGAGTAGACGCAGTATGTGTGCTTTCTGAACGTCTACAGGGACTGTTTCGAGATACGCATGTAATGCATGGCAAAAACACCTCTCGATACATGCCACAAACATACGTCTACAAGCCATACCATACAGCAGAGTAGACGCAGTATGTGTGCTCTCTGAACGTCCTCAGGGACTGCCCAGATTCCAACGCCCACAGCTGGAAAGGGGAAGGATGGGAGCAAGTAAGGCGCGCAAAAGGTACATGTCAAGACACTTTCCATATCAGACAGCAGAGTAGACACAGTATGTGTGCTCTCTGAACGTCCTCAGGGACTGCCCAGATTCCAACGCCCACAACTGGAAAGGGGAGGACGGAAGTAAGTACGAAGCGAACACAGAAGAAGCCTTTTATGTGCATTACGTAACAAATATTACGAGTTGCATAACAAACATTAAGAGGACTCAAAACATCCCGGCTCCCAGGCACGTAACGGGAAGGGATGAGAGTAAGGGCGTGTGAAATCGCCGAACCCAGAAATTCGGCCAACATCCGTCGGGCCGTTTTTGCGAAAGTAACCCGTCCACGGCGATCGCTGAAACATTTGCGAGCTTCGTATATTTCGGGGAAAAAATACGAAAAAGATGGCTGGTTGAATAGTCGACACGTATCCGCCATCATGACGACTCCAATTCGGCCAAGTAGTCGACCCCGTGAGCGACAGTCACGTGCGACGTCGCTCGGTATCGCAGAACGACAAATTTTCGGATCTCGTCAAATCAGAAAATTTGCCGCCAAACGTGCGACCCCGTCGCACATACGCAACAACTGTAGCAACTGCAAAATTTACATTTTTTTAAAACCGGCCTGCAATTCGGCCCCCAAACCTGTAAAAATTGCAAATCTGCAAATAGTGGCTGTAAAAGTGACGACACAAAGTCGACCAATCTGTCGACCTTCGCGAAAGAAATGTCGACCGGACGGTCGACGAAAATCCGGCCAAAAGCAAATTTCGCATGTGTGCGGGGATTTTACACGCCCTAAGACCCAGTCGAAGAGGACGAGCATGCTTTGGTGCTGAGATGAGATGCAGTAGTATGATCCTTGAAGAGGATAGTGAAGAGGATAGTGATGAGGATAGTGATCTTTGAGAGCCTCAAAGCGTGGATAGTGATGGCCGCAGGCAGGGTGGGGGAAAGCAACGTTGACCCTTTTCGGAGGCTGCTCAAGGTATCAGTGCCACATCGATTGTGTCACCTTAGTGTGTAACCTCGATTCTGTCCCACCTCGATTGAGTCACCTTGATTGTGTCACACCTTGATTGTGTCACACCTTGATTGTATCACACCTTAATTTTGTCACACCTTGATTGTATCACACCTTGATTGTATCACACCTTGATTGTATCACACCTTGATTATATCACACCTTGATTGTATCACACCTTGATTGTGTCGTCCCAGGATGATGAGAGGAAGGAGTCACGGCGCACAACATTCCAGTCCACCGATTGGCTGGAGGAAAAAATCAAAAGACGTAGGGAGAAAACTGTTCTTTCTTTCTTTGTTCGAGGGTGAGACGGGGAGGGGAGATGGGGAGGGGAGATGGGGAGGTGAGACGGGGAGGGGAGATGGGGAGGTGAGACGGGGAGGGGAGATGGGGAGGGGAGATGGGGAGGGGAGATGGGGAGGGGAGATGGGGAGGTGAGATGGGGAGGGGAGATGGGGAGGGGAGATGGGGAGGGGAGATGGGGAGGGGAGATGGGGAGGGGAGATGGGGAGATTGTGGAAGATCGAGACCGGTCAGTGGGCACACTCAAGAGCGCAGAGGATCGCGATATGTACACTCAAAAGCGCAGTGAATCGGCATGAATACACCATGAAGGGCAGGGGATACACACACTTCTCGAATGTGCTCTTCAAAGCTGCGGATGGGGTTGCTGGCAGGAGGGAGAGCCAAGTCCCATATCTGCACAAGGTGGGGGAAAAGAAGCACACGGAAGGGAAGGTTAGGAGGGGAATGTGAGGAGGGAAAGTTGTGAACAGGATAGTCGGGTTATGATAAAAGAAATCTTGCAGGAAAAGTCAAGTTTCCTTCTCAAGGAAAGGAAAGAAAAGAAAGGAAGCAAAGCAGCAAGGGCGTGGCGTGCGTGCAGTGTGCACAAGTCAATCACGACTCACCTTGACACTGCCATCGCCGCTAGCGGACACTAGAAGATTCTCATTCGCCTGGAGCCGAGGGGAAGGGGCGGACGGTACGGGGTGGAGAAATTGGGCTGGATAAGATGGAAGGGGCTAGGGTCAAACGGAGGTTGTTGACAAACACGCAAAGAAGGCCAATGAGGAGATCTTCCCACATCAGATCAGATCAGATTAGATTTACATAATCCGTCGCCTTATAAAGCGCACACTTCACCTGGCCTCCCCTCATCCCAGCCCACTGCAGCAGCTGCAAAGCAAACAACCACACTGCACCTCACTGTACCCGCACTGCACCGCACTGTGCCTCACCTCACTCCAGCAGCAGTCGTACAGCCCGTCTGCTGTGTCATACGCCATCACCTCCACCAACCCGCCTCCTGGGGACAGCTGAGGGACCGAGCAGGGAAGGGAATAATGGATGGAGGGGGAGAGAAGAATGGATGGAGGAGGGGGAGAGAAGAATAGATGGTGGAGGAGACGATAAGTCAATTCAGAGATGCCTCAATAAGCAGCAGTCATTCAGCCCATCTGCCTGTCATACGCCTTGGAGAGAGGAGGGGGGAGGAGGTGGGGGGAGAGGAGCGGGGTTGGAGACAGAAGCAGCTTCTTTCGAAGGAGTTGGACAAAATGACACATTTTGAGCCTTTTACAAAGTAATATGGTGCCAACGACACCAAGGTTGAGTGCGGTGCAGTGCGATACCTCGAGTACGTGCAAACGGCCATTGCCAATGATGCCGAAGTTCTGTGCCGTCGCGACAGCCAGCCGATTCTCCACAAATGGACTGAAGCGAGCCTGGGGAACACGAGAGGTAAGGGAAGGAGGAGAGGAGCAGGAGCAAAGTTGAGTGCGGTGCAGTGCGGTGCAGTATGGTACCTCGAGTACGTGCAGGCGGCCATTGCCAATGATGCCGAAGTTCTGTGCCGTGGCGACAGCCAGTAGATTCTCCACAAATGGACTGAAGCGAGCCCGCAGGCAGACAGGGGATGAGGGAAGGAGGAGTAGGGAAGGGAGACGAAGCAAGGAGTTGGGAGGGAGGAGTGAGGGGAGACGTGGCGACTGCCAGTCGATTCTCCACAAACGGACTGAAGCGAGCCTGCAGGCAGACAGGGGCAAATAGAGCAAGCACAAAAGTGGGTAGGAGACGAGGAGTGTTGAGACATGTAAGAACTCGGGCTGAAGCGGCCCTGGGACACACAGTGGGAAAATGGAGGACGCACAAAGAGGAAGCTGCGAGAGTCAGGAGGAGCGAGTAGACAACCATAGGGAGAGACAGGATCAAGCGGCTAGCCTAAGTACCATAGGAGAAACGGGGGAAGGTGAAAACGGGGGTGTGAGTTTTCAACCGCCTCAATACGGAGAGAGCGCAACGACATATGACGGAGAACTGAAGCAGCTCGTTAATTAGCTCGATTGCTTGTCATCCTCTCATCGCATTTCAGGTGATTTTAAAAATTTGTTAATGCAGGCTAAAATGGAGAATATGGATCTTCATATTGCGTACCGAGTATCCATTAAACGCGGTCTTGAAACGAGGCATCGCTGCGAATCGCTACGGTCCCTACAGCAACGCTCCAAGCGGTTTTGAAGCTTTAGACAACTCTCCTGACGGTCGACTCCCAGAACGGTCAACCCGCAAAACGTTCGATCCGATTCACTCAACCAGATAGCGATCTGATCGGCTGGGAAGCTAGAAACTCTCAAGAAAAAACTGCTGATAGCTACTAGCTTCAGGTAATGTATGATGCCGGTGAAGAAATAAAAAGAGCTGGAAAGGCGAACATTGTCTTGTGGTGCTCGCAAGAACGAAGCGGAGGCTGTGAAATGCAGTAGGTTAATCGAAGAACTCCTTCAAAAGCTCGCTCGCTGATACGCTGAAGAGCAAGAAATAAGTACGACGAAATTAGAGTGCTGTTGGTAGTTGACACGTCAGCATGAGGTGGCAATGGGCGAAGACAGCAAGAAAGGAGAAGCCCAAACAACCTTGAGGTTGACTCACAGGTGAGCTTTGCGAATTGGCTTGATAGACACGAAACATTTACCACGAGAGTAGTCTCTGTAACTAGAAGTCGCTTTTTGCGAGTCATCAGAAAATAGCAACCAGTCATCGTGCAGAAACCATTCGCGAAAGGTCTTGCGAAAATGACATGCGTGTCTCACTGCGACAGCGAGAACGTGGGCGAATTCCTTCCAAGCACCACAGGGAAATCTGCTCATTCTCATTCAGCAGCAGGGAGGGAGAGAGTCCATCTCAAATATTCCATTCCCTTCTTCCATTCTTCCATTCAGTAGCAGATTTGGTGATTTCTTGCCATGTCTCTGACACTCCGCTGATTCTGACGGAGTTGATTAGTTAATTTTGACAGTTCTTGACAATTACTACCAATTTTCCTCACAAACCTGGTTCTAATTTCCTTTTATCGGGGACGCTCTTTCGTATGAGAGTTTGCTGACCCGGCCATACTAATTGCTGACTCGACCGTACTAATAGCTGGCCCGACCATCCAAATAGCTGGCACGAGCATACTAATTGCTGGCCCGAAATAGAATGGAGACAATTGCCGCGGCTCCTCCTACTCGATTTCTTTCGAAGAAGGTCGTAATACCTCGCAATGTCCTTGGACTGACATGTCATGAACCGCGATTTCCGCCGAGTAGACAGTCCTCCGCGTTCCTCCTTACTCATCAGCTCGTCTCTGTACTGTTTCCGGTTAGTCCAACTCGCAAGCAGGCTCTCGTGAAGTTGAATCAGGCGAGAGGCTCACGCGTTAGCAGGCTGAATTCGCATGTTCCTGACTGTCCGATTGACATGCCACGTGTGCCAGATGAGCAGGAAGCGACGAATCCAGCGGTAGAAGATGATCGGCTCAAAGTTTTGTGCGACATAGTCGCACGAGCTCGGAAGGGGAAGACAATGCGAGAATATGAGCAGGAGAAGGGGAAAAGCACGCATGAGGATAGACGAGTAAGAGAAGACGAATCCGGTGACACAGCTCCTGACACCTCTGCTGTTGCTTCCACTATCAAATTCAAAACGAAATCCAAAATCAAATCCGGAATCGAATCCAGTACCACTTACGCTACCACAGACCCTTCCGTCTCTGGCCTGCCCACAGCAGAAGAGGCCCGTTTCATCTCCTCCCTCCCACTTGAAACGCTCGTTTCAGCAGCCGGAACAATTCGCGACCAGCGCGAGGACCCCCATATAGTCACATTCTCGCCCAAGGTCTTCATTCCAGTCACATTCCTCTGCAGGGACACATGCGCCTACTGCACCTTTGCCAAGCCTCCAGATCAGGTTCGGCGCGCATACATGACCGAAGCTGAGGTGCTGGAAGTGGCTCGGGCCGGAGCTGCGGTCGGGTGTGTTGAGGCTCTGTTTACTCTGGGTGATAAACCAGAACTGAGATATGAGGAGGCGAGGAAAGAGGTCAGTTGATCTTACAGCTTTTAAGTTGCCACAACAGTTTGGTTTGAGAGGTTCAGTTGCCATTTCTTCCATTTCTTCTTTGTAATTGCATATGGTAGCAAATCATTTGTAAGTAACCCTTTCAGCAATTCCTTGTCGTTTCAGCTCCAAGAGCTGAGATTCCCCTCCACCATACACTACGTTGCACACCTAGCCTCCAGAATGCTGCATTGCACCGCACAATGGTGCTCAATGTCCCCCCCCTCATCTATTCCTTTTTATTCCCTTGTCAATCCAGCTTCAAGAGCAGAGGTTCCCCTCCACAATTCACTGCGTCGCCCACCTAGCCGCCAGAGTGCTGCAGTGCATGAAGCTGTAGTGATTAATCCCTCCCTGCGCCCACCCCACCTACACCTTTCCATTCTTTGTCATTCCAGCTTCAAGAGCTGGGGTTTACCTCCACCATACACTACGTCGCCCATCTAGCCGCCAGAGTGCTGCAGTGCACAGGACTGCTGCCGCACGTCAACGCCGGCACCATGGGGGCGGCAGACCTTGTCCTTTTGCGCCACGTGGCGGCCAGCCAGGGGCTGATGCTGGAGAGCACGGCAGAAGGGTTGATGAAACCCGGTGGGGCCCACTGGGGGTGTCCGGATAAGGAGCCAAGCGTGAGGCTGGCGACAATTGAAGCTGCTGGTGAGTTCGCAAGACCTGCGGCCAATTGTTATTAGAGCAGAGCAGAGCAGAGGGCTGCTAAAACCCGGTGGGGCCCACTGGGGCTGCCCGGATAAGGAGCCAAGCGCGAGGCTGACAACGATCAAGGCTGCTGGTGAGCTTTCTGAAGGGGTGAGAGGTACAGGGTGAGAGGTCTTAGTGAAAGTTACAGGGTGAGAGGTACAGGGTGAGAGGTACAGGGTGAGAGGTACAGGGTGAGAGGTCTTAGTGAAAGGTGTAGGGGGCGGTGTAGGGTGAATAAGCGTCTCTCATTTCCCCTTTCACTGCCCTCTCCCTTCCATCTCCCTTCCCTCTCCCTCCCCGCTCACTCCCCTCATTCCCCTTATACCCTCTCACGCCAGGTGCTGCTCGCATACCCTCTACAAGCAGGCTCCTTGTGGGCATAGGCGAGTCAAGGAATGACAGACTAAGGGACCTCTTAACCCTCCGGGACCTACACTCCCGCTATGGGCACATACAGGAGATCATTATCCAGCCATTTCCCCCCTCCATTGCTTTCACCTAACCCTACGGGACCTACACTCCCGCTAAGGGCACATACAGGAGATCATCATCCAGCCGTTCCGAGCCAAGGAGCAGACGAGGATGGGACGGTTAACCATCCAGCCATTTTCTCCCCTCACACCTTCTCACTCATCGCGTTCTGCAGGTGTTGCCCGTATACCCTTTACAAGCGGTCTCCTTGTGGGTATAGGCGAGACAAGGGCCGACAGATTAAGAGACCTGCTAACACTTCGAGACCTTCACTCCCGCTACGGGCACATACAGGAGATCATCATCCAGCCGTTCAGAGCCAAGGAGCAGACGAGGATGGGGGTTTGGGGCCATGCAGAGACGGAGGAGCTGCTGTGGAGTGTGGTGATGGCACGGATTGTGTTCGGGGCTCATATGAGCATCCAGTCGCCACCCAACCTGAGGTGAGAAGGAGAGGGCGAGCAGGGTCAGAGTGGGGTGGACGAGGATGGGGGTGTGGGGGCATGCAGAGGCGTTTGAGCTGCTGTGGAGCGTGGCTATGGCATGGATTGTGCTTGGTGCATGCATGAGCATCCAGTGGCCTGCCCAACCTGAGGTGAGAGAGGAAGAGATAATGAGCAGTGGCCTGCCCAACCTGAGGTGAGAGAGGAAGAGATAATGAGCAGTGGCCTGCCCAACCTGAGGTGAGGCTCTGTGAGGCGCCTAAAAACTCGTCAGAGGCGGAGGAGCTGCTGTGGAGCGTGGGGCTCACATTAGCATTCAGTCGCTGCCCAACCTAAGGTGAGAAAGAGTGGGTGGGGCTTTGATTGGAGTGGTGGGGGGGAGTGGAGAGGGGTGGTTTGGGGTGTGGCGATGGCGCGCATCATGTTTGGGGCTCACATGAGCATCCAGTCGCCACCCGAGCTCAGGTGAGTGGGGATCGGGAGTGGTATTGGTTGATTGGGGGGGGGGGCAGTGGAGAGGGGTGCTGTGGAGCGTGGCGATGGCACGCATCGTGCTCATCAGGGCGCACATGAGCATTCAGTCCTCACACATGTGAGCCCACATGTCCTCAGGAGAGTTAGCAGAGAGAATGAGCAGGGGCCTGGCTATACACACATTGGCAGGGGCACACGCACACACACTCACGGGCCCACTCTGTTTCTCCCCTGTTTCCCCAGGGGCACTTTCATTTCACCCCTGGGAAATCATCTCTTGCTACTTCATTTTCAAGTTGACTTTTGAGTCGACTCAAAAGTCAACTCGAAATCATCTCTCGCTACTTCATTTTCAAGCTCTTAACCTCTCTTTCTGGACATCCCCCCCCATATTCCTCCTTCACCCCCTCTTCCTGCTCTGTCCTCGCATCGTGGTGTGTGGCAGTGTGGGGGACTTGGCTCAGCGCGCCCTTATAGCAGCGGGGATCAACGACTGGGGAGGGATCTCGCCAGTCACCGTTGACTGGGTCAACCCTGAGGTGAGGTGCTAAAGCGTAAGGCTGAGCAGTTTCTGTTTGCAGGGTGGAGCAGGAAGGAATCTCTCGATGTTATTGCAGTCCTGGGAAAATAAATTCCCATGTACAGTTGACCAGGTCAACCCTGGTGTGGGGCTCTGCACTGACGGGCTGAGAAGGTTCTTAACCCACACAGTTGACTCAGTCAACACCACCAGTCATCACATGCTTGATCTCCCTTATCTCCCTTCACCCTCCCCTCATTCATTTTTCCCTTGCTCTCTTTCTGAGTTGTCTGGAAACTCTCCCATATCTGTCGTGTATCCTCTTTCTCCTGTCCCCTTCATTCCTCTTCCCCTTGCTCTCACTAACTACCACTCCGCCATTCCGTTTCTCCCCCCTTCCATCGATCCCTTCCACTTGCCATCCACTCCCCCATCCTATCCACCTGCCTCCTCCATTCCATCCTATCCATCTTTCCCCTCTCGTTTCTGTTTCTCAGGCCCCCTTTTGAGGCGCCTCAAAAGTTTTGAGGCGCCTCACCCATCCACTCCCCCATCCTATCCACCTGCCTCCTCCATTCCATCCTATCCATCTTTCTCCTCTCATTTCTGTTTCCCAGGCCCCCTGGCCGCACATTCACGAGCTGGCATCAGTCACTGCAGCTTCTGGGAAGGTTCTCGTGCCTCGCCTGCCTGTTTACCCGAGCTTTTTGTCACTGCACAACCAAGACACGTGGCTGGTGAGAAGGTTGACACGTGGCTGGTGAAAATACTGTCATGTGGCTGGTAAGAATGGTGACACGTGGCTGTGGCTAGTTAAAGTGGTGACACGTGGCTGGAACCGTGCTGGCCCTGTCAGCGTGCTGTCTCAGCCACAGTGCTTGCTAGCCCTGTCACTGTGGCAGGCAATCCTGGGCGTGAGACAAGAGGACCCACATCCACTCGTCGAGAAATGAGAGTGCTTTTGAGACGTCTCAAAAACGCTCTCATTTCATGTGCCTGTCACTGTGGCAGACAATCCTGGGCGTGAGAGCTGTCAGAAGCAGACAGGTGGGCTGCAAGAGTTAAGGCCTTCACAGCCCACCTGTTTGCTTCTGACAGCCCCTGTCACTGTGGCAGGCACGTGAAATGAGAGTGAGAGGACCCACATCCACAGTCCCCTCCTCTGCAACTGCAAGGCCCGCCATGTCCCTTACTTAACCTTTCTTCCCTTCTAGTTGCTATCCACACCACAGCCCCCTCAATACGCAAGGCCTCTGATTTGAACCCGTGAATCCATGTCAGTTTCCCTTCCTTCCCTTCTGCCTTCCCTTCTCCCTGCCCGACCTCCCTGCTCTCCCTGCCCTCCCTGCCCTCCCTCCATGCCCTCCCTCCATGCCCTCCCTGTAACCAGGACCCCAGGGTCCTTCCCCATATTCTCCAACTCTCAGACAGCTCGGGCTACGCCAGGTGCCAGCAGTGGGCGCTTGGGGCCACGTTGCCCTTTTCATCTCCACCTCTCCTTCCCTCCATGCCCTCTCTGTCACCGGGACCCCATGGTCCTTCCTTCCTTCCTCGCGTCCTCCAGCTCTCGAACAGTTCAGTTCAGGCTACTCCACCAGCTTCAAGGCCTTCTCTCTGAAGCCACGAGTCCATGTTGTTGCCCTTTCCTTGCCTGCCTGCCCACGTGCGCCCCCCCTGCCGTCGTTCCCTGCCTGCCAGGATCCCGTGGTCCTTCCTCTCGTTCTCCAGCTCTCAGACAGTTCAGCCTACGCCAGGTGCCAGCAGTGGGCGCCAGGAACCCTGCTGACCCTGCCTGCCACCCTGTCCCTGCCTCTGTGCCTCCCCCCATCACTGCCACCAGGATCCCGTGGTCCTTCCTCTAGTGCTCCAACTCTCAGACAGTTCAGCCTACGCCAGGTGCCAGCAGTGGGCGCCAGGAACCCTGCTGATCCTGCCTGCCACCCTGTCCCTGCCTCTGTGCCTCCCCCCATCACTGCCACCAGGATCCCGTGGTCCTTCCTCTAGTGCTCCAACTCTCAGACAGTTCAGCCTACGCCAAGTGCCTGCAGTGGGCGCCAGGAACCCTGCTGATCCTGCCTGCCACCCTGTCCCTGCCTCTGTGCCTCCCCCCATCACTGCCACCAGGATCCCGCGGTCCTTCCTCTAGTGCTCCAACTCTCAGACAGTTCAGCCTACGCCAAGTGCCAGCAGTGGGCGCCAGGAACCCTGCTGACCCTGCCTGCCACCCTGTCCCTGCCTCTGTGCCTCCCCCCATCACTGCCACCAGGATCCCGTGGTCCTTCCTCTAGTGCTCCAACTCTCAGACAGTTCAGCCTACGCCAGGTGCCAGCAGTGGGCGCCAGGAACCCTGCTGATCCTGCCTGCCACCCTGTCCCTGCCTCTGTGCCTCCCCCCATCACTGCCACCAGGATCCCGTGGTCCTTCCTCTAGTGCTCCAACTCTCAGACAGTTCAGCCTACGCCAAGTGCCTGCAGTGGGCGCCAGGAACCCTGCTGATCCTGCCTGCCACCCTGTCCCTGCCTCTGTGCCTCCCCCCATCACTGCCACCAGGATCCCGCGGTCCTTCCTCTAGTGCTCCAACTCTCAGACAGTTCAGCCTACGCCAGGTGCCAGCAGTGGGCGCCAGGAACCCTGCTGATCCTGCCTGCCACCCTGTCCCTGCCTCTGTGCCTCCCCCCATCACTGCCACCAGGATCCCGTGGTCCTTCCTCTAGTGCTCCAACTCTCAGACAGTTCAGCCTACGCCAAGTGCCTGCAGTGGGCGCCAGGAACCCTGCTGACCCTGCCTGCCACCCTGTCCCTGCCTCTGTGCCTCCCCCCATCACTGCCACCAGGATCCCGTGGTCCTTCCTCTAGTGCTCCAACTCTCAGACAGTTCAGCCTACGCCAGGTGCCAGCAGTGGGCGCCAGGAACCCTGCTGACCCTGCCTGCCACCCTGTCCCTGCCTCTGTGCCTCCCCCCATCACTGCCACCAGGATCCCGTGGTCCTTCCTCTAGTGCTCCAACTCTCAGACAGTTCAGCCTACGCCAAGTGCCAGCAGTGGGCGCCAGGAACCCTGCTGACCCTGCCTGCCACCCTGTCCCTGCCTCTGTGCCTCCCCCCATCACTGCCACCAGGATCCCGTGGTCCTTCCTCTAGTGCTCCAACTCTCAGACAGTTCAGCCTACGCCAGGTGCCAGCAGTGGGCGCCAGGAACCCTGCTGACCCTGCCTGCCACCCTGTCCCTGCCTCTGTGCCTCCCCCCATCACTGCCACCAGGATCCCGTGGTCCTTCCTCTAGTGCTCCAACTCTCAGACAGTTCAGCCTACGCCAAGTGCCAGCAGTGGGCGCCAGGAACCCTGCTGACCCTGCCTGCCACCCTGTCCCTGCCTCTGTGCCTCCCCCCATCACTGCCACCAGGATCCCGTGGTCCTTCCTCTAGTGCTCCAACTCTCAGACAGTTCAGCCTACGCCAGGTGCCAGCAGTGGGCGCCAGGAACCCTGCTGATCCTGCCTGCCACCCTGTCCCTGCCTCTGTGCCTCCCCCCATCACTGCCACCAGGATCCCGTGGTCCTTCCTCTAGTGCTCCAACTCTCAGACAGTTCAGCCTACGCCAAGTGCCTGCAGTGGGCGCCAGGAACCCTGCTGACCCTGCCTGCCACCCTGTCCCTGCCTCTGTGCCTCCCCCCATCACTGCCACCAGGATCCCGTGGTCCTTCCTCTAGTGCTCCAACTCTCAGACAGTTCAGCCTACGCCAGGTGCCAGCAGTGGGCGCCAGGAACGCTGCTGCCCCTGCCACCTGGTGCAGATGGCTTGCTGACAAGAGCAGCAGGAGCAGAGTCAGCAGCAGCAGCAGAAGGGAGAGGATTAGCAGCAGCAGAAGCAGCAGCAGACGCAGCAGCAAAAGCAGAATCAAGGGAGATATACGGAGGAGGATGTATAGCTGTAGGTGCAGATGGGTTGCTGATGGGGACAGAGAGACGTGCCCACGTGGCTGGTGATGACGTGGACATTACACCAAGTGACAAGCCCATGCGGATACATGACGTGGCACGAGCAAGTGATGACGTGGCGCGCATTCTTGAACGCGCTCTGGAGGGACACTCGTTGTCTGAGGTGAGTCTATGTACATTCTTCCCTTTCCCTGTGCTTCCCTTTCCCTGGGCTTCCCTTTCCCTGTGCTTCCCTTTCCCTGTGCTTCCCTTTCCCTGTGCTTCCCTTTCCCTGTGCTTCCCTTTCCCTGCGCTTCCCTTTCCCTGCGCTTCCCTTTCCCTGCACCTCATGCGAGTCACTTCTGAGAATTCTTAAAAGTGACTTCAATATCCCTGGAGGGATGCACGTTGTCTGAGGTGAGGTGAGTGAGTCCACGTGCGTCCCTTTTTTCTCCTGCGCCTCATGTGAGGTGGTTTTAGAGCCGATTGGAAAGTCTCCTAGCATGCCCTTTCATGCGCTCATGTTTCTCAGGTGTGATCGATCCCTTTCTGCACTGCCACTGATGTTCTGTTCTCTGTGTGTGGGGAGTGCAACAACTCACTGGTATGCCGTTGATTTGCCATGATGCCCCGTTCCCATCAGGCGGAGATAGTTCAGCTCTTCTCGGCACGCGGCACTGACTTCCACGCGGTGTGCCGCGCTGCAGATGGGTTGAGAGCGGTGGTGAGCGGTGACGAGGTGTCATACGTGGTGAATCGCAACATCAACTACACCAACGTGTGCACCTACGCCTGCCAGTTCTGCGCTTTCAGGTACATACGGCAAGCTTCCACGTCGGACATGTATGACAAGATGCCATGTCGGATTGTGTGCATTCATGTCTGGACCAGAAGAAATGTGAAAAACACGTTGCACATGACATATCTACTATGGTTAAGAAGATTTGAGTTTAGACACATGGAAAAAGCTTGAGCCACATGGGCCTGCATTGCCTTCTTCCTTCCTCCCATCTCGTGTTTGATGCAGCAAGGGGAAATCAGCCGAGAGTCTCAGGGGCCAGCCATACCTGTGAGAGAACCTTCCCATTGCTTGCCATGCTGTCACGCCACATCATCTTGCCATGCTGTCACACGACATCATCTTGCTACGCCATGCCTTCTTTTCTCAGTCCTCTTCTGCTATTCTCTACTGTGCCGTCCTCTATGCCTTGCCATCGCACCATGCCATCATGCGACATGCCACAAACATTCCTTCCGCGTTACTTTTAAGTCGACTCAAAAGTATTCTCTACTGCTGTCCTCTATGTCATGCCATCGTATCATGCCATCGTATCATGCCATCGTATCATGCCATCGTATCATGCCATCGTATCATGCCATCGTATCATGCCATCGTATCATGCCATCGTATCATGCCATCGTATCATGCCATCGTATCATGCCATCGTATCATGCCATCGTATCATGCCATCGTATCATGGCGTCGTATCATGGCGTCGTATCATGCCGTCGTATCATGCCGTCGTATCATGCCGTCGTATCATGCCGTCGTATCATGCCGTCGTATCATGCCGTCGTATCATGCCGTCGTATCATGCCGTCTTATCATGCCGTCGTATCATGCCATCGTATCATGCCATCGTATCATGCCATCGTTGCACGTTGCACGCACATGGCATGGCATGGCATGGCATGGCATGGCAGCATGTCACTAGATGAGATCAGAAGACGAGCCAAGGAGGCATGGGAGCGAGGCGCAACTGAGGTCTGCATGCAGGTATGGGTGCATGGAAAGGTAGTTTCGACCCACATCCAGCAGATCTAACTCGTTCTAATCTCCTCTAGGCTGAGCTTAGGCTAGTAGGAATTGAGTAGGTAAGAAAAATGTCATTCAAACCTGAGCGTACACGTGTTTCGGCCGATGGCCTTCGTCGGCGCTCTCAGAAATACAAGAAAGACTACTTCTTATCTACTCCCATATACCGTGCCCAGAACTCAACCAAGAAACAGAAGTCCAGTGCGGCTCGTCATTGCGGCTCGCTAGCTGGCTGTACAGAACATTTACAATGTAATTCAACATGCAGGTGGGATGAATTCAATCCCATCAACTCACGGGGTTGGTGTATCCCCGTTTCTGAAACCTCGCTTTCACCAAGAGGTTTCGTAACCTCTTTGGCAAGCGCCAACACACTTAAAACCGTGGGAGGGAGATATGTTGCAGCGTATGTTTTTTGAGAAATCTAAAAAAATCCCCCAGCCCCAAGTCCAGGTCTGAAGGTAAGGAGATGTCCAAAGCCCCAAGTCCAAAGTCCTTGGACATCTCGAGGTGAATTTTGAGTCGACTCAAAAGTCACAAAGTCCTTGGACATCTCCTTACCTTCAGGGACTGGGGGACTTCCCTCTCTTTGTGTTGTTGGCAGTTGCGAAGCAGAATCGGTATATCTTGATGTTTGACGCTGTCGAAGATAGGCCTGAGAAAGTAATCAGGGTCCCCCTCTCAGAGTAGCGTCCCTGCTTCTCTCCCACTACCCCTCCTACCCCGTAGGGAGGCATACATCCAGACTTTACCGGAGAAACCTACCTTTCCATCCTATCAGCTGTGAAGTCTTGAAGGCTCTGCCTCTCTTCCCTCATGTCCCTCCCACTCCTCCCTTGCCTCTGTCCCCTCACTTTGCCCCCATCCCCACACTCCAGGGAGGCATACATCCAGACTGCACAGGAGATACCTACCTCTCCATCCTATCAGCCGTCAAGCCTTGACGGATTTCCTCTCTTCCATTGTGACCCTCTTCCTCTACCCCCTCCCTACCCCTTCTACCCGCAGGGAGGCATACATCCAGACTTTACCGGAGAAACTTACCTCTCCATCCTATCAGCCGTCAAGGCGGCATGCCCGGACATGCACGTGCATGCCTTCTCGCCTCTGGAGGTGTGGCATGGTGCCACCTCCCTCAACTGCAGGTATGCACGCATGTGCTTCAAATCAAAACATGCTTTGATCATACCAACAGAATTTCGTGAAGAACCCAGCCAATCCTGTGGTCGTGCTGCAAGATTTATATACTTTTTTTTTTTTTTTTTGGTGGTTGTATTTTGCCAATATTTCTCCTGCCCGCCTTTGCCCCTCTCTCGTCTCTTCCCCACGTTTTTGGCTCACGCTTCTGAGTCGACTAGATAACCTTCTCCCTCCTTCCCATCATCTCTCTCTCTCGTCTTTTCCCATCACATACATGTGCCTCAGCGTGCCACACTTTCTCCAGCTTCTGAAGAGTACGGGTTTGGGGTCCCTGCCTGGAACAGCTGCTGAGGTGAGAAGCTTACTTGGTTCGTACCTCAGTCACTCAGTGCACCGCGGTGTGCCTCACTGCATCGCAGTGCACCGCATTTTCTCCAGCTTCTGAAGAGTGCGGGTCCGGGGTTCCTGCCTGGAACAGCTGCAGAGGTGAGACGCTTACTTGGCTTTTCTTCCTTCTTCTTGCTTTTGGCCTGCACATCACCCCTCTCCTCTCACCTCCTCCAACCCATTTGAACCCCTTTGAACCCACCCATCTCCACTCAACTTCTCCAACCCCTCTCCACCGCTGTAGATCTTGGACGACTCAGTGCGAGCCGTGCTGTGCCCAGACAAGATCTCAACCGTCCAATGGAGGGAGGTGATAGAGGCCGCTCATTCTGTCGGCCTCCCCACCACCTCCACCATCATGTTTGGCCACGTGGACCATCCCATCCACTGGTAACCACCTGGTATCTGGTAACCACATGGTAGCTGGTAACCATCTGATAACAACCTGGTAGGTTCTCCTTATGCTGCCAGTCGTCTCACCATCATGTTTGGCCACGTGGACCATCCAATTCACTGGTAACCACATGGTAGCTACTTGGTAACCACATTCTATCCACTTCCACCCAGGTCAGTTTCTACTACCATAAGGCCTGGTCTGAGCTTTCTCAAAACTGAACAATGCCTGTTTACCCTTTTCCCTCTCCCTCCACCCATTGCCCCTTTTCCTCCCCCTCTTACCCCCACCTCCTCAACTGCCCAAACTCAATCCCCACCACACGTCTCCCCCCACCCTTCTCATGCTGCTCAGGGCACGTCACCTGCTGCTGCTGCGGTCCATTCAGGAGCGGACAGGTGGCATCACGGAATTCGTCCCCCTTCCATTCGTGCACATGCAGGTAGGCACGTGCATGCATCCATTTGGCATTTGGCACGTGTGTGCATGCATGTGACAGAGCACACATGCATGTGACAGAGCACACATGCATGTGATCAACTGCATACACACCCGCACCTCAGACCCTCTTCCTTCCCAAACCCCTTCCCTTTTTGCACCCTTCACCCCCAGGCGCCTTTGTATCTCAAGGGCAGGAGCAGGGTTTTCAGGGTCGAAGCCGTTATCCCCCCACCCCCTTCCCCTTTGTCCTGCTCAACTCAGGCGCCAGTGTATCTCAAGGGCAGGAGCAGAAGAGGCTCCACGTTCAGAGAGTGTGTACTGATGCATGCGGTGGGGCAGGCATTCATCCTTCTCTCCATAACCCCCCTTCCCTTGACCCCCAACCCATCCCCCCCTCATTCCCAGGCGACTGTGTATCTCAAGGGCAGGAGCAGGCGAGGCCCCACGTTCAGAGAGTGTGTGCTGATGCATGCAGTGGGGAGGGGTCATCCCCCTTCGCTTCCCGCCTAACCACCCTACCCCCCACATCGCCCTCCCCCCTCCAGGCGCCGGTGTATCTCAAGGGCAGGAGCCGGCGAGGCCCCACATTCAGAGAGTGTGTGCTGATGCACGCGGTGGGGCGGCTGGTGCTGCATCCACTCATCACTAACATCCAGGTACGGATGGGGCAAGACACGATGCCATGCCGTGTTTCATGCGTAGTTCAGAGAGTGGGGATGCTGGTGCTGCATCCACTCATCACTAACATCCAGGTATGGATGGGGCAAGGAAGGATGTAGTGATGAGTGGAGGCAGCACCACCTTCCCGCCCCACTGTGTGCCATGCAGAGAGATGCTGCGAACCTCAGAAAGTGTGTGCTGGTGCCTACTGTGGGGAGGCTGGTGCTGCATCCACTCATCACAAACATCCAAGTGAGGGATATACTTGCATATGCACAAGCAAATCCACATGCACTTGCAAATCCACATGCACACATGCATATGCACATGCAGACATGCACGTGCATACATACAGATACAGATGTACTATTCCAACCACATTAATTCAATGGACGGAGAGATAATTGTGGTGTGCATGTGTCGACTTCCACCCTTTCCTCCATATAACAGGCCTCATGGGTGAAGATGGGATTGGAGGGCGTTTCTTGTCTGCTAGCGGCTGGTTGCAATGATGTGGGCGGCACACTGATGAATGAGAGCATCACATGGGCGGCTGGAGCAGTACATGGTGCGTGAAGCTGTGGTTTGATGCGGCGTGTAATAATGTCCCGCTTGCACTCCCTATCTGTCGCTTATCCCCCCTCCACCACACTGCTCTTTTGTTGCCCAGCCTGTCCTCTGCACCATATACCAACCTACAAGCACTAAATTTTTGTTCGTCCTCATCATTGCAATACGCAGGTCAGGAAGTAACAGCCCAGCGCATGGAAGCAGTCATATATGCAGCTGGCCGTCAACCCCGTCAGCGAACCACGTTATACGATTATCCTAGAGCACATTGAATCAGTGATTATTGTGTCTGAGATTACAGTGCTAATTCTGTACATGTTATCCCATCTTCTAATTTCCCTCACTGCACAAATTGTCAATCTAAGCTCACGACAGGATAAAAATGGCATGTAAACTTGTCAATACACATTATTATGCTTCTCAATATATACAGCACAAGAGGACCAGGATTTATGTTATGAATGAACTTGCAGAGTGCGCAGAATAATGAATAATAAGAATAAGAATTGCAGAATGCCGATACAAGGAAAGTAGCGAGGCCTAAACAGGGAAAACCTAGCTAGGCGGGGAGGTCGCAAAAGGTTGCGATTGGTGCGGAGGCGACTCGATGAGGTTTGGGTGCGGACTTGTAGGCCGAGCCAGTTAGTCACGTGGCCCGCGGGATTTCCTCGTTAAAGAGTGCCTCATTAAGGATTTGTAAATCCTTTCAATTTACGTAGTCTCAGGTGGGGTATGCCTTGAAGAGTTGTTGAAGTTCCGCCTCTGCGCTGCTTTCCCCGCTAATTCCCGCTGTCGTCCCCATAGTCTGGATTTCCGATAATATCAGTTGGGTCAGCTCCCGCCAGTACATTAACTACATAGTCGTCTCGAAATTGCCGGTCACAATGCGGGCGCGAAGAGACTCCTGGTGCTTTGGTCCGCACATAGCCGACGTGTTGAAATAGCGACGGCACGTGCACATATCCCGTCCGGTTGGCGCTAGTTAGGTATTTGTTTAGGAGCCAATCCATAGGAGCCTCGACGAATCGCTTCTCCACAAACCCCAGCAGGTCTTCGAGCGCCAATACTTTGAAGAGCAGGGCCTGAGCGCAGCAAGGAATTAGATATTCCCCGCCATGCTTATATTCCCAAAAGTACGATTCGGGGTAGTAAAGGGATAGGACCGTCCACTCCTTATCCTTCATATCTTCGTTAATGAATTTCTCGATACCGATGTCGTAGAGGCGGGCTGGCCTTGTGTCGTCTTGCAGCAGCAGGATGTATTTCGGTTTCGTCGCCATGCACTGTCGCATCACGTAGACGAAATCCATTACCAGCTTCGTTCGCCATCGCCAAGATTTCCAGCCGTCGGCGCCGACCATCTCGTCTGTCACGCCGAACTTCCGCAACACCTCCTCGTCTTCCTGAACGAAGTCGCACGCATCTTGCCGAGATGGTAACACTGTTACATTCAATGAGGATTCTCGTCCAGCCAATATTAAAACTTTCTCATGCAGAACTCCCATCGTCTTCTTTCGTTCTTCCAAGTCGCCCAGATGAGTTGGAAGTACCGGCTCGGTAGCTGATTCCACGTGGCGTAGGGTCGGTCTTTTCAACAAGCTTCTAGTCGTCGTAGTAGGCCGCGGGTCCTCCTCCGAAGCGCTGGCGTCTGACGCGGCTGCTTGTTTCTTGAGGCGCCGTAAAATTTTCCGTTTTTCGTTGCAGCCCGAGTTGTAGACCACGACGTTCATGTCTTTAAAGCCGCCGGAAATGTTAGACGGCGACCGTCGCCGTTCCAGCATATCGAGAAGAGACACTGGGAAGTACCACGGTGGCAGCTTGCGGTTTTCGGGAAATACACGTGGCATCGAAGCTATAGCCACGCAGACTTCCAGTTGATTGTTTGCGCTCTTGCTGCTACTCCCGTCGCTGTCGATATTGAAACTGTTTCGGTCGCTCTTTTGATCATCCCCCGCCGTTTGACTTCGCTTTCCGTTGCTGCCACGTGTCGCGTCCTGGGGTGCGACATTTGGCTCGAAGTAGTCTCGTCTGACGTGGCGACGCAGATGCAGATGACTCAATTCCGTGTAACCCGTTCATCCCAAAAATCGTTCTGGGAGAGAAGTCGTATTTGGAGTTGAAGTACCCACCAAGTGTATCTGAGCCGTTTTCAACACTAGCGCCCCCTGGTTTTGCAGGCGACTACACTGTCTAAGTAGACGTGGTTTCTTGTCGTGGCTATAAATCGCATACGCAACGCGACGTGGATTTGACGGCGACCTGATTGTCCAGGTAGCATACCCTATTTACTTATCTTCACTTTCAGCCTTTTTCCAGCGACGTTATTTAATGTAGAAATTTGTTTCCCGTTTTTGCAGGGATGGATTGAGACCTCGTCACTTCCAAGTTCACTCACGTACGAGAGTCCTTTAGTGTGAAGACACATAGGTGTTATGGTTATTGTGGAGACTGTCCTCGTCGTTTCTGTAAATGTGTAATCATGTAAATATTGTTTAATATATGCGATTCAGTGACATGTCTCACCATATGATGAAAAGCGGGAACCTGAAACGAAAAGAAAATATCGCAACAATGCGCTTGAAAAACCTATAACGTAGTCACGTTATAAGGACATAGTACTCACATAATAAGGGCATAGTTTGTACAATGTACTGACTTCAGGTTCCTCAAGCAGTAGAGTCATTGCGTGAACTCCGTACAGACTGTATCAGGATGGTATGAGTACGGTCTTTCTATATGAGAAATATGCACAATGTACATTCTACTCAAAATTTGAGTATCCACATAGTACGTACCTTATTGCCAGGTGTAGAGTAGCTTGTAAGTCGCAGAACCTATACTTACATAGTCCGTCAGTACAATGTGCGCACTACATAGTTTCAGTGTGTCGACATTGTGTTTACTTAGTATTTTCGCCGAACAAATTTGGGATGTTAAAGCCGATGCGTTAATAGCTCCAGAAGCAGCGTCGTCGTTCCTTGCTGTTGAACCAGTCGACTGACGAGGCTATGCCGAAGTAAGGAACGTCCTGAAAACGGATCTGGCGAACGTGGACGGTAACCAGGTTACAGATTCTGAAGCTGACTGTAACGAGGTCAATGATGACGGCGACTGTGGCGAGAGCAGCTGGCGCCTGTTAAACTCGAACACCTTACCAGAAAAGTCCAGGCGTTCACAATTGTGGACATGGCGATTAAGCCTGATACTGACCCAAGGCGCGAAGATTAAAACGAGGCCACACGCGAGAAGCAGGAGAGCGAGGCGGTAGTAAGGTCTGGAGAACCTTGTGCGCGATGAAGTGGTAGTGTGCCTGCTAAAGCAGCACTTGCTGACGAACTTGCTGGTAGTAAGTTGGATCATGGTGCCTGGACGTGGTAGCTGGAGGTTGTGCTAGAGCATCTGATACGAAAATCAAATGATAAGCGGTAAGGACACATGTTTGCAACATTTTTCGGAGGATAAGGGGGTGTCTGAAGTGAACGTCGACATCCCCCGACGAGTCTTTGAGGAATGTCGATGAAACTTGACAGTCGGAATGCTCGATCCGAGGGTGGAAATTCGCCGACATCCCCCGACGAAACTGTAGCGTCCATCGACGTTTCACTTCAGACACCCCCCCCCCCCCTCCCCCCTTTAAGTACAGTCGATGCTCACCTAATCCCGTGTCCAAAGTGCATAACAGTCGGAAAAACAGTCACTCGCGAACGTTTTTGCCCGTGAGTGACTGAATTGAGCATTGTGGTACAGTCACCAAGTTGCGGAAGAAAAACATCTACAGCTAATAAACAACAACGGTTGCCCGTCAAAAATTGTTTACCTGGTTACGAACTTAAGGCCAAAACGCGATTCACATTTCAATTTCATATTACAGTCCCATTAATGCCCGTGGCGACAAGGGCGTATTTTGCGAAAAGCCCAAATTCGTTTCACGCACATGCCTCCCGCCTATCTGGTGTTCTTGAAATGAGCACCGACTGTAGTGATAGGCAGTGCGTGATAGCCTGTTGGCGACAGCCTGTGATAATTTGTCCGCGCGATATGTCCGCTTGATACAATGGGTTAGGGCGCGCTGCAGTTGTATTTTTATTCGAAAATGCTGAAGAAGATCGATCCAAATCCGAAATTTGAGGTAGTGCACCACGCTCGTGTTTTGGCATGTGAACTTGAACGCCATAGCGTCCCAAACGCGGGCAAACGATACTGCAGAATTCCCCATCAAATGCTCGAACTTGACAGGGAACTGCACCACCCCAAAAGGTGAACACCAGTTGCGAGAAATGCGAAACACTAACGACGGTAATGAGATGTTCACGACTACTAAACGAAATGAGACGATGTGCTATGCGACGTCTACAGTGTACGTACGACCCCAATTTTGGTTGCACGGTTGGTAGGAGTTCGGGTTCCCCAAAAAAACATTCTTGGTGCACTTGACGTGGGGGCATTGCTGCACTGCAACATGGCATTCGGTTGCCGCTGGTTGTTCTCCGGACATCTGTCTGGAGGCGGCGGGAAGGCTTTTCTGAAAGGCTGAGGGAGCGAGCAAGCGGCGATGGATAAGCTCTTCTCAAGACTCGAATGGTTTGGTAGTTGGATGTAGGCACTGGGGGGAATGGTTTGGTCTGGGCGTGATAGTGGGGAGTGATTGGCTGAAGGTGGTGCTGATTGGCTTGGGCGAGGCGTAACCTGTTGACGCCTTGTTTCCTGCAAACGCGCAACGAGAATCCCAGGTTTGTGTGAGGCCGAGATTACATGCGAAAACCCATCGACCTACAATTTTTCCCAACTTAAAGCCGTTGGTCCAAATTGTTCATGTTTTAAAACCGGGGTGCACATTCAGCTGAATGTGCATCAAAGGTTATCCCTTGACTGAGTGGGTTACGAGGTGTGCTTTCAACCCCTTCAAGTCGAAATTCGTTTCCCCCCTCCCCCACAATTTCGTTTCCCCACGCCCCCGCAATTTCATTTCCCCCTCCCCGTCGAAATTCGTTTCCCCCC